AAGGGCAACATGCTGCAAATGTTTGTTATCTGAGGACAAGACTCAAAAATATCACATCTACCAGAATTACATCACTGGAATTATATAAGCATGTTGCACCCATAAGATAAAATGCTTTGTAGGCATAAAAAGGTGCTTTCAAAGAATATGTAATGAGATGAGAAAATGTTAAGTAAAAATTATATATTAAGAACTTCATATACAATATAATTTCAAGTTTTTTAAATAATGTATGTATGTTTATTTGCAGAAAGAAAACGTAAAGGAAATATTCCAAAATATGGACAACAGCGATAAACTTATTAATGATTTTAGCTTTGTTTTTTTCCATTTTTCTGCATGTTTAGGGATTTTCATCTTTTTTTAAAAAAAATGAACATATGTTAATGTTGTAATCAGATAATAGTATAATTAAAAAACAAAATAAGCCAAAGAGGTGAAGGAAGCACCAAGACTGCTGGGGCTGCCTCAAAGCTGAGATCCAAAACTCACGGCGCACAGATGAGAGAAGTTCTCATAAAGAAGATGGGAAGGAGATGCAGAGGGGGGCCAACGAGAAATGATCACCACCAGGACCATTGTATTGGTAGCAGTACTTGCCAGGAGAGGCAGCCATGACCAGCTTGCTCAGCCCCTGCTCAGTCTCATGAGGTTGTGCCTGGAGCCATCCCTTCCCTGGAAATAATGAGCTCAAAAAACACAGCCTGTGTTGGACTCACCACCATGCTTGAGAACACCTTCCTCTGTGGTTTCCTTGTATGTACTTCTTTGGTCTGCTTCAGCGTGTCCGTCATATGGCACCTGGCCAATCTTACTGCCATATCTGTTGCCAGGAGGAAGGAAATGAGGTTACTTCACCTGCAGCCTGAGAGGGGCACGTGCAGACCACCTCCCTGCATCGGCTGCAGGACAAGACACCCTGATCATGGGGAACCAGCACTCCCTAGTGAAATTTCTCAATGTAAGTATTGTTCCATCCAGTGCCTGTGTGAGTTGTGTCTTTCTTGGAGACCCTGACACCTACAAACTGTGCAGTGGGTTGACATCCTGTTCCTGGTGGTAGGCAGCAGGTGTCACCTGTTTTAAATACTAATGGCTATGTGAGCACTTCCTTGGTGCCAGATGCAGTGCTTGGTATCTAACCATCTCTGTGCCATGATGAGGCTGTACTCTTGTTTATCCCTCCCTATTTCACAGTTGGGAAAATTGAGGCAGTAAGCATTGAGTGACCTGGCCGAGGCCATACAGTTCATAGTGCAATGCTGAGACTCAATCTCAAATCTGTCTAGCTTTAGATCCCCAAAGCAGGAGAATCTCGAACGGTCTTGCTGCCTCTCCCTCCCTCAAGAGAAAATGGAAATCTCCAGGGTCAACTGAACAAACTCCTCCTTCACATTGTCCAAGTTTGGGCTGAGTTGCACACTGAGCAGCCTCTGGGGCCAGGTAAGGCTGTGTAAGCTTTTGCTTTAATCAGCTCCCAATAGATTGCCTCCCTCGTGCCCCTTCAGTGCTAGTGATTTGTCTCTTGAATTTAAATGGTTTGCTCTCCTAGGAAGCCTCATTCATTCATTCATTCATTGCTTTGTTCATCAATTCATCAAACAACAAGTAAGTCTTATTTTGTGCTGAGTATTGTGAAGGTTCACAATCTACATTATTACCTAACTAGTTAACAAGCCAGGAGTAAAAAATGGAACTTGTAGGTCAAATGACAGAGCAGGAACATATAAAATCCCCCCCAACGTGTACCCCAAAAGTGTGGAGTTACTTGCTATGGTCTAAAGAGTTGTGTCCCCCACCAGAATTCATATGTTGAAACCTAATCTAGTGCAATAGTGTTGAGAGGTGAGACATCTGGGAGGCAATTAGATCATAAGGGCAGAGCCCTCATGAATGGATTAGTGCCCTTATAAAAGAGGCCAGGGAGAACTTTTTTGTTCCTTCTGCCATGTGAAGACACAAAAAAGGCATCAGCTATGAGGAATGGGCCTCCAGCAGACACTGAACCTGCTGGTGTCTTGATCTCGGACTTCCCAGACTCCAGCACTCCAAGAATACGTTTATATTGCTTGTAAACTACTCAATCTGAGGTGTTTTGTTACAGCAGCCCAAATGAACTGAAACAGCATCTAGCTACCTACTTAAGTTTTAAGACCTTAGCTAAGCTCAAAAGCAATAACTGAAATTTCCAGGTGGCAGACACAAACTCAGTACAAGTGAATAAAATTAGAAACACATGACACACAGGCCAGATGCAGTGGCTCATACCTGTAATCCCAGTACTTTGGGAGGCTAAGGTGGGTGGATCACTCGAGGTCTGGGGTTCCAATCCATTCTGGTCAACATGGTGAAACCCTGTCTCCACTAAAAATACAAAAATTAATTGGGCATGGTGGTGGGCATGTGCCTGTAATCTCAGCTACTCAGGAGGCTAAGGCACGAGAATTGCTTGAATGCAGTAGGCAGAGGTTGCATTAAGCAGAGATCACACCATTGCACTCCAGCCTGGGTAACAAAGCAAGACTCCATCTCAAAAAAAAATGAAAAACAACAACTAAAAACACATGACGCACAGGAGCAAGGGCTCCAAGGAAGGGCGCTTAGTGCACCAGCAGAGTCAGAGAGAGGCAGCAGCCCCAGGATGGGGCAGGTTCAGATATGTGATTTCTTGGAGCCTGGAGCCAGATACACCTGACCCTCTGTGGACAAAGATTATGCTTTGGGTTTTAAAGTTAGTATGTTAGAGTAATTTTGTTGTACTTGCAGATATATTTTACATGAAAATGTGCATCTTACTATATTTCTAATATTAAGGAACTCAGCACTTATACAGCTTGGGTTGGTTGTATCTTGCTGGATTAGTGAGGGAAATAGCAGGTTATCAAGGTAAATAAACAACTTTGCATGAACACTTGCCTACTACAAATATTTTAACAAATGTGTTTTCTTATAATAAACATTTTTAATCTCAATGTTACAAGTCAACACTTTTTGAAACTGTTATGACAAAAATTTTAATATTACAGGAAAATGAATATTCTTAGCAAACAGATGTACATAGAAACTCAACTTTCTTAAGGCAAGTCATAAAATAAGTATAGATTGAACTCAAATTTTATGGTAATTGGTATGCAAATATTCCTCAGTATTCTCCTAATCCATCTAACAAGACGTAATGGCTAGCTTATTGCTTGTCTTTTCAAAGCATCTGTGTCCACAGACTCCCATTTTTTTTCCAGGTTCTTCATTAGCTGTTAGGCAAAGCCCATGGCTTCTGCTTCAGTAATATTTCCTAGCCGAGGCTGAACATGGCCTTATTTATTTCTGTTTCTACAACGGGGATCCGAATGTTTTTGCCCAGGAGCTATGGGGAGGCACCAGAACCTACGGGAGCTCTCCGTGGTGCTGGCCATGACTGTAGCTGTGGGCCAAGCTGCCCTTCCTCTAGCCTTGATCTCATCTTGGATACCCTTCATGATTCTAAGGCCAGCATTGATAGTAACTCAGATTCTGGCTTAATCGTCACGGCCTTGACTCCTATCCTGGCATTTGCTCTGTCCTGAACGCTTCCTGTCCTTCCTTACTCTGAAGAACACTGATTGCCACTGTGCTCCTCCTGGACCCATTTAGCCAGTACCTCCCTTTCTGCTCACTCTTGTAGCCCCTCCCTGAAGGTTCACCAGAATTTTCAGGGCTCCTCTATGGCAAGTTCCCTCCAAGGGCTATTTTCTTTCCTTCTTTTTCAGACCTTTCCATCTTTTCATATCGCATCAGCAAGTCGCTCCATTCTTCCATGTCCTAGACCAGAGCCAAAGGCTGAGCTAATATTGTTCTGTGTCAGTTCTGAGTCCTATATCTGAGTCTCACCTCTCCAAGTAAACTGGGTTTTTGGGACAGGGCACCTCTCCTCCCCACATCCTCTTGCTGTGGTTGGCACAGAGCTGGACACACTGGGGGCTCTGGCTGCACAGACTGATTAGATCATTGATAACTAATTGCTAATGGCTAATTCTAACCTGGCATGAGGGGCTGAGCAGAGGCTGCAGTCTTCTCCACCTCCCTCCACCTGCAGGAGTCTCTGTCTGTCTTGGGCATGGATACTGTGCTGCCCAAGTGTGTAAATTAAGCAATAATAGAGCTACAGAAGCATAAGCCCTCAATGATGGGGAATGTGTTTGTCTGCTAAGAAGCAATTTCAGCGAAAATTAACTCCATTTCAATGGAAAGAGTGAGGCTTGGCATAAGCTGGCCAGTCCCAGAGGACAATAAAATTACTTTGTCAAAGCTCTGCTTGCTTAAATTAACCAAGCAAGCACTCCAGGATCCTGGCTAGATACGGCAAGTAACTAGGTTTTAATGAACAAAAATAGCTTCTTGGATAAATGAGAAAAATAAACCACAGCCTACCTCCAGCACAAGTACACACGGTGGCTGTCTCAAGGACACTCCCCCAAGGTTATGCATGGCCACAGCATAGCATCCTGTGCAGTGTAGTACCATCTACACTGTTGGCATTGGCTGTGCATCCTTGGGACTTGTTCTTGGTCAGTGATGTCCTATCTGCTCTATCTATGCTGGCTTTGCCCTTGAGGAATACATTGGCCATAGTGTCCTGGGCAGTGAATCCTTTTTGGTTTTAGCCTCATGACTATGGACTGGCCACCCAAGTCCTGGGAAACACTGGCCATTTCCCCTGTGACTGTCTTTTTGGACAGCTACATCCAGGACAGTTGCCCATCTTCATCTTATCTTCTATACTGTGTCCTTAATCCAGCTTGCCCGGTCAGCTGTGTTCTGAACAACTTCTGTACTGATCATGCCATCTAGATCTATGACACTAGCTGGCTGTGCTTTGGCCTTAGATGTCTAGGTCCACCTGATTAGGCTATTGATGACTGTGTTCTGACTGACCACATATTGGAAAGTTGTCTATACAGATTAGTAAAACATCTGGTCAAGCCCCTCTCCATGTTAAATTTTTTCTGATTACTCATCATGTACATCTATATGAGTCAGAGTTCCATAGAGAAGTAGAATTAGTAAGATGTGTATGTGTGAGAGAGAGAGAGAGAAAGAGAGAGAGAGAGAGAGAGAGAGAGAGAGAGAGAGAGAGAGAGAGATTTATTAGTACTAGGATATATTATTTATATGTATGTTATTAAAGGATCATTAACTAGGAAATTTATTGTGAGGAATTGGCTTATATGGCTATGAGGACTGCTGGCAAATCTGGAATCCACAGGGCAGGCCCTCAGGAAGGGCCAGCTGGAAACTGCAGCAAGCACTGAAGCTGCTGTCCACAGGTAGACTTTTCCTGTTCCTCAGAGAAACTTTGACTCTGTTCTCAAAGCTTTCCACTGATTTGATGAGGCCTATGCAGCTCATTCAGGATTATCTCCTGTACATAAAGTCAACAGATTGCAGACGTTAACCACATCTACAAAAGGCCTCCCAGCAGCACTGGGGCCTGCGTGTGACTGAATTACTGGGCATTTCATGCTACCGCTGGTCCCCTTGTTACGAAGATGGGTCTCCTTATTGTTCAACTGGATAAGGTAGAGTCTTCTGATGCTTGATAAGGACAATTTTGTCAGCCATGGATGGAGGAGGGACCTGGGGTTTTGATCAGCCCCTCTCCCTCCCTGACACACCCACTAAGCATTGTCCATATGTATATGACTTTAGGGATGTTTGGTGTCATTGTTGGTGAGCACCCTGGTCTCCAAGTCGAATTTTCTGTCTGAACTTTCCTTCCAGGTATATCATGTGGCTGTGTCCTGCCCACATTTCTGGGAACAATTTAGAAAGAAGGTGGACTATGTTCTTAGCACACCTCTGACACAGAGAGCCAAGCTTGCCTTCACAGCATGGCGACGTTTGTATTTGTGGCTCTGGTGCAGTGAATACCACAGCCATAGAGGAATCTGAGTCTGTCCACTGCCTGCAGTTCCCTCCTCTCCTCCACCTCCATTCACTCATTTATTTGTTCATTCACTCATACAGTGAACACTGTCATGTGGCCACCACAAGCCAGGCCCTGCTCTAAGCCCCGGAGACCCAGCAGTGAACAGAGTACAGAAACTGCCTGCCCTCAGGCTTCCATTCTCCCAGGGAAAGGGAGTTCATGAATGAATGAGATCTGCCTGGAGGTGAGAAATGCTGTGGAAAATCGTAAAGCACCATTTGAAGGACAGAGGATACCTGTGGAATGATCCCCCCATTAAGCAGGGTGGTTAGAGTATGTCTCTTGAGAAAGGAACATTTCAACAAGAAGGGGAAGACAAGAACCAAGCCATGCTGTTATGAGGTAGGCTGGGGACATTCCAGCCAGAGTCTAAGGCTGGTGAATGTTTGGCACAGTTCAGGGACAGTGGGGCTGGGCCAGTTTAGACTGCATGAAGGAGAGAGAGAGGGACAGCTGGGGAAGAGGAGGTCAGAGAGACAGAGCAGACAGGGTTTGACAGCCACTGTGAGCCTGGCTCTGCTCTGAAGGAGACGGGAGCTATAAGAGTGTGCAGACACTGGGATGTGTTCCCTTCGGACAGAGCTGCTTAGTACCTGGTCAGGATTGTTGTCTGCCAAGAACCCCAGCCAATCTGTCCCCAGGCATCACACTCTGCTGAAAGGAGCTGCCTCTGCCAAGGCTCCCTATCCCCTGGAAAGTGCAGGGCTGAAAGGCTCAGCCCCTTCCCCTCAATATGGGACATGTTCTAAGCCCACTCCAGCCCCAGAGCTTGGTGAGTCTCTCAGAGGCCTTCAGTGAAACCACACTGCAACCAGCCTCCTCTGCCCAGTTCTCTGGCCTCCTGAGGAGGCTCCCCTACTCCCTGTGCTGCCTTCCATACCAGGGGCACAGCACCCTGTGCTCTTAGGAATGCATTGATTTGGTCTTTAGTGTTTCCTGCACACCACTCCACCTGCACTCTGTTCAGCACACATCTCTGAGTGACAGTGTGTGATTACTCCTTTTCTTAGGGTAAGGACCAACAGTGATCTCCCTGCTATGGTGTATTTCTGGGTGTTCATGCTGGATTTCCCCACTCACAGAAGCAGACTCTTACTGTAAGGGAATTGGGATAACTCCCCCACAGAGATTCCATTTAACAGGTGGTATTGAGAACAGGAAATGACTGTACCACAAGGACTTACCACCTCTCCCACCTTCACTATGACCATAGCTTGCATGCTACCCACTTCTTGGTGGAGAAAGTGCAGCTGGCAATAAAAAAAAAAAAGAAAAGAAAAAAGAAAGAGGCAGGTTCTGATTAGAGACATGCCTGCGGCCCCACACAGCCACTCCTGTGAACTGTCCTGGCAGGCCTCCAATATGCTGCTCCCACAGAGAAGTCTATCCTGAAGTGCTTACAATATACAAACAATAGATCACATTAATAAGAAAAGATAAGCAATCAAATAGGAAAATGGCCAAAGGATATGAATTTCCTGAAGAGGCAGTAGATAGGCCAACTGCCATAAGAAAAGATGCTCAACCTTACGAGTAACCAAATTAAATGCAAAATTAAATTAACCACAAGATTTTTTTTTAGTTTATTTATTTTACTTTAGGTGCGTACTCTATCTGGCATTTCTCCCCATGTTATTCTTCCCCAGCCTCCTCTCCCTCCCTACCCTCCGCTGTCTCTTAATTCATCTATGTAACTGGCAAAAAATAGTTTGATAATCTCATTGCTGTCAAGGTGAAAGGAAATGGTTTGTTCTTGTGCCCTGCGAAAATGCATGTGTCTCAGGGCCCAACAACTTTACTTCTGGTTTTGGTTCCCCAGAGAACACCTGGTGCCTAAGGAGGCACATCCAGGGATGTTGCAAGTGGATGCTGGAAATAAGGGTATTTCCATCAACTGGGGAACAGCTAACTAAGATGTTCTTAACATCTTATGCTCATGCAATAGACTATTGTATAATTTAAAAATTGAACTTAAATCTACATCTAACCATATCAACATGGAAGAATGTTTTTGAGGTCTGGAAGGACACCATCAACTTCATAAGAGTAATTGCTTTGAGGAATGCACGAGAGTAAGCGTTGGTCAAAGAGAATTTGGGATTTATCTGGAATCTTTTGATTGCCTTAAAAGAACATCTGATGTATTTCTTGTATAATAAGAAGGTAACATTTGAAGTCTGTCTTGGGCATACGTTTTCCTCCCCCACTGTCTTGTCTTCTGACCTCAAGCAGGGAGCTTCTCTGCATTCAGCACCAGTTAAGGTACAGTATCCTCATACCCACCATCTATTTTATGAGACACTCAAGGCTCTTCAGATCATGCCCATTTTTGCCCTGCCAACCACCCCACAGACCAGCATGGAGCACATCTAAAAATACTTCAGACCATGCCACTAGCTATTGCTGGGGAACAAACTGCCCCAAAACTTCATGACTTAAAACAATCACCAATTATTTTTGCCACACACACTGGGGATTTGGCTGGGAAATGCTTGTGGTTTGGGCCAGGTCTGTCTGAACTTGGCTGACTCTCTCTGTGCCTGTAGTCAGTGAGTGGGGGACCAGGCAGCTGGCTGGCTTGCAGTGGCCTCACTTCCATCAGCTGGAGCAGCAGGAGTAGCAGGCCCTGGCTGGCTCACTCTCTGGTGGGCTGGCCCAGGGTTGTCCAAGCGACAGGCACAGGCATCCAAGAGCAAGTGGAGTGAGTATAGCCTCTTGAAACCTAGCTCAGAGGTGGCACTCTATAGTTCCCATCACATTATGTTGGCCAAGTCTTGGCTCACAGGATAGGAAAATAGACTCACCTCTTCATGGGAGGTGCTGCAAAGTCACAAGCAAAAGGCAAGGCTTCAGGCAGGAGTGAAGAGTAGTAACCATTTGTTTCAACCAACACTAAGAAGGCCACGCTCCTTGACCATGTTGTTGGCCCGCATCCCTCATGACCTCCCAGTGAGCACACACCCATGCATTTATTAATCTAGAATACACCCTGTGACAGCTGCTATGGCTTCCACCCCTGCAGTGTCCTGGGCTGGTAGGCCTAAAGGTGTTAAAAAACCACTTAAGAAAGACCAACCAGGACATTCTCAAGGGGAGCAAGAAAAATGTAATATTTTTTTGCAGACCTCACACCAGGTCGTTGCAGCAGATGTCAGGAGCCTCCATCCTGCTCATCCTACCTCCCCATACACAAACCTTCTCAGGAGAAGCAAGAGAGCTCTCCAGAGTGGATGGAGGGACTCTCCTTTAATGCCATGGCATATGACCTCTGCACTCCCTCTACCATCTGTGTGCACCCTGTCTCCTACTCTTGCTGTACCTGGCTGCCCTCTATCCAGGAGCCAAGTGGGGAAGCTGCATGTGCTTTCCCAGCAGGCCTGTCACATCACCTTGGCCAGCGGCTGCTCCAGAAGGACCTCGACTGAATTGCAGCTAGCTAGGGTAACCCCCAACCAGCCTTGAAGTTCATCCCAGTTCTCAGGGCCGGCCAGCAGAGAAGCCCATACTGCAGATCCAGGGAAGGCAGCCCCCAAAGGAGTCCATGCCCAGTTCCAGTCTTATTGCTCTGGGCAGCCCCTCCTGCCATACATTTCAATTGACTGTTCTCTGCCATTTACAGATCAATTTCTCCCCACTTGGCCCACTCAGTGCTGCCATGGAATTGACTAGGATGGCTAAAAGTACACCTCAGTGAGAAACACCAAATGCTACCCTCCAGCCTTTCTAGAACAAGTTCCTTCAGTCACTCCATGGTTAAGATTTGACCTTATGAGTCAGATTTGAAAAGAACTCGCAGGGCCCTCTGGACTGGCCAGGGAGGATGCCTGGATCTAGAAGCCCTGCCTGCCGTTATCTCTGCCACCCATTCCTCATGTGTCCTGAGTTGACGCTTGCACATGGGAGGCACTTTGGGCCTTGCATGGACCTTCCTCTCATGGCCCAGGAAGCAATCTTGGGTGTAAAAGACTGGAGTCATGTGCCAAAAACCAGGACTTGGGTTCAAATCCCAGCTCTACTGCTTATTTGCTGTGTGACCTGTAGCAACTGTCTTTACCTCTCTGGGTAAAAAATTGGTGTGAGAGGAAAGTGCCCAATAAGTATTTGTGACCTCTAGATATAACTGTAAAGTCTCCATCTGCCATGAATTTTCTTTAAATCAAGGTTCCATGACTTCCAAAAGTTTGGGAATCCCTGGTGTAAACCCACAGTTTCTTTTTATAAGTTTTTATAACAGCAAGTCCTGCTTGCTGTTCAAAACATGAATTGCAGAAAGGAAAGGTGAAAAGAGAAATAGCCCAGAGGGAAAAAAAATCTGCAGCATTAGGGCAAATTGCTGGGTGACAGCTTTGAAATGAAGCCACAGGGCTGTTAATTGCATTCACTTTGCCCCAGGGCCTGTGCTCTTCTCTCTTCTCTGGTTTGGGATCAATGTGAGGGATGGCGAATGGGATTAAGGAAGGCAGACTTTGATTAGGCCATCAGACAGGTAAAAAGGTATTGAGCTGACTCCAAGTGACTTGTCACTAGATACAATTAACTAGTGCAATTCTGTATGTGTGTGTGCATGGGTGTGTATGCGTGTGTTCTTTGCTTATCTGTCTCTCTCCTCTCTCCCTCTTTCTTTTGGCTTCTACTTTATACCATTTGATAAAGCACGTGAATTCACACAAAAAACTTACTAGGGACTACCTCTCAGAATCCAATGTTGAACATGTAACCAAATTTCCATAATGGTGGACTTTGGGGCCTCTGTTCTTTCATATATGTTTACTGAAAATCTACTCTGTGCTGAGCAAATCTTACAGATGATAGAGATAGAGCAGGGAACAAAACAGATGGTGCTGCTGTCCTTATGGTGCTTCTGTACCCTGAGACCCAAACAGGCAATTGACAAAGAGTAAACATCTCACATCAAGTAGTCATGAGCAATATGAAGAAAGTATTTAGGGCAAGAGGATGGAGAGTGAAAGGGAAACTATTCCAGATAAGGTGGTCATGGTAGCTCACAGTGCACTCAGTCAGTGAGCATTTCCCAAGCACCTACAGCATGTTTATCTCTGGATGGGAGCTCTGGGGAATTCTAGAGAAGAGACACGAGCCCTACTCTACAGCTTTGTTGGGGAAGCAAAGCTCGTGTACCCAAGAGTGAGAGAAGTCTGAGACAGAACACCTGGTCAGACTGTGTGGGTTAAATGTAAGACTACACACAGGAGAGGAAAGCCAACAGTGCATTTTTTAAGTTTGGAAATTGGAGGAAAGAGGGTAACACTGATGAAACAGAGCAGCTGGAAAAAGGGAGTCCTTTTTTTCTCCTGTACAGAGGGTAAAGAAGAACTTAGATTTAAATGTATTGAGCCAGAAGTGAAGGTGGTTAGCAATTGCTGACATAGCCCTAGCTATGGATGAGCAGCTGCAATTCTGGCACAGACTTAGAGATTTATAAGCATCTTATCATGTTAGGGTTGCTCAAGTTTGTGAGAAAACTGGGATTAAATCAAGCAATAATTATTGGCAAACAATCTAAGTTAATGAATGATGCACATAAGTGTGCCTGAGGGTTTCATTTCTTTAAATCTTGTTCTAAATGGTGATTTTGATATGGGCCAAGCCCTGCATCAGGCACTTCACATGCATAATCTCTTAATCCCTGTTACAAAAGCTGAAGTAGTACTATTATTATCCTTATTTTGTAGAGAAAGAATTTGAGGTTTGGAGCGATGACGTAACTTGCCAATGCTCTTTTCCTTAATTGAGTAAGAACCCATTGAATACTTAACAGACACAGTTAGCAAAACACAGGACCAGGATTCAGACCTAGCTCTGTCTGATTCTAAAAACATTGTTCTGATCCATTGCACTAAACCTGTTTTTCATTAATAAGCTTCATTTAAAAAAATACAGTAAACACTTATGCTGAGCTAAACTCACATAATTCTGCTTTGTTTTGTAACAAGCAAGAATTATAGAAGAATGTCCTATAATTCAGGGTGAATGTGGCATGGTGATCTATTGCCCCCAGTAGCAGGCCTGGTGCTGGTAAAGAAACTGCAGCTTCTGGATTTTTTACTTTTAAGATGCAAAGCTGAAGCGTGATAGCAGATATACCTCTGCTTTGCTTGAGATAGGCACCTTTCTCATAGAGTTTGTGACAAAGTGGCTTGCTCAGGAAGGAGGGCTACAGAGGCTGGCCAAGTGGAAATTCGGGTAAATACAATAAAATGTAGCAGGATCACAGAATCTCCTACCCCAATACCTAGTGAAACAAATTAAAATAGTAAAAACAAAAGGGAAAAATCTATTTAAAAAGTAAAAATTGATTAGCAGAAAATACAGAAACCATGTCATGAAATCACTTTTACTTGCCCATGCCCTTGTAGGTAGACTCACCAAGCCCAGTGTCACTGCAGATCTTGAAACAATCTTGTAACGGCTCCAGTTCCTCTCCACTGTTGTCTCAAAGCACTGTTCATCAGCCCAAGGGCCAGAGGGAGACCTGCTTGTCTGTACCACCAGAGACAAGCCCACAGACCTTAATCTCAGCTGTGGACTCTTAAACATGTTTATAACTCAGTTCCAGCCCCTCTCAGCCATGACCTGAGGCCAGTACTGCCTGCAGACTCCACTGCAGACCCAACAGCATCCACATGACTCAGGTGAAATCCCACTTGGCGACAACCCTAGAAGCAGTCTCATGAGGTCAGGGACCCAGTGGGAGGTCTTCATCTGCCAACACTAGTCTATAAAGACTAAAGAGGTGTTTCCTCTTTCAAATTCCTAGACACCAACACAAGGCTACACAGACGACAAAGAATGAAGCAAGTATGACACCACCAAAGAAACTAATAAAGCTTTAGTAGTTGGCCCCAAAGAAATGAACATCTATAAACTGCCTGAAAAATAATTCAAAATAAACATCTTACAGAAGCTCAGTGAAAGGCAAGACAATACAGACAACTAAATGAAATAAGAAAAACAATGCATAAACAAAATGAGAAGTTTAATAAAGAAATAGGAGTCATTAAAAAGAACCAAACAGAAATACTGGTGCTAAAGAATATAATGAAAGAACTAAAAAATACCAGACTCAATCATGCAGAATAAATAATTTGTGAACCCAAAGACAGGTCATTTGAAAATAGCCAACAAGAGAAACAGAAAGAAAAATGAAGAAAAAAGAGTGAAGCATAAGAGTCCTATGGGACACTATCAAAAGGATAAATATACAAATTATGGGAATTTCAGGAAAAGAGAGAGAGAAAGGGACAGAAAGCTTATTTAAATAAATACTGGCTTTAAAAGAAAAAAATTTCCAAATCTTGAGAGAGACATCCAGATCCATGAAGCTCAAAGAATCCCAACAAAAATCAACCCAAAGAAGAATATCCCAAGGTACATTCTAATCAAATTGTCAAAAGACAAAGAGAATCCCAAAAGCAGCATAAGAAAAGAGATTAATCAATTACAAGGAAACCTGCATAAGGCTGTCAGTGGACTCCTCAGCAGAAAACTTGGAAGCTAGCTGGGAATTAGATAATATCCTTAAAGTATTGAAGAAAAAAACCTGCCAACCAAGAACACTACACTCAGCAAAGCTTTCATTTCTGAAGAATAGAGTCCCTCTATTCTTTCAATGTTCATATCTAAAGGATAAAGTCCCTCAGATTTTATTTGTCTGAGACAATTTGGTTTGCCCCAGATGAATAAGGGACTTTATCTCCATGAGATTTGCCTTATAAGAAGTACTATAAGGCAAAAAAAAAAGAAAGTATAATACTTACTAGTAAAAATAAATATGTAGTCAAATTCAGAATATTCTAATGCTATAATGATGACATATAAGTCACTTTTAACTCTACTGTAAAAGTTAAAAACAAGACTATTTAAAAACCCATAGATTTAGTAATTGGCTAATGGATACACAATATGAAAAGATGTAAAGTATGACATCCATAGCATAAAACAAGGGTGAGCACTGAAAAGGTAAAATGTAGTGTTTATATGCAATTAAAATTGTTATAAGATCAAAATAGATATTATAACTATATGATATTTTAGGTAAGCTTCATGGAAACCACAATGAGAAGACCTGTAGTAGATACATAAAAAATAAAGAGAAAAGAATGAAATCATATGGATAAAAAAAAAATCAACAGATCACAAAGGATGACAGCAAGAGAGAAAGGAGCAAAAGAACTACAAAACAGTTCAAACACAATAAACAGAATGGCAATAGTAAGTCTTTCCATATCAATAATTACTTTAAATATAAATGAGTTAAATTTTCTAATCAAAAGACACAGTATGGCTAAATGAATTTTAAAAACAACAATTAATATCAAACAACATTCTGACCACAAGAGACTCATTTTAGCTTTAAGAACACATAGAGACTGAAAGTGAAGGGATGGAATAGATATTCCATGCCAATGATAACCAAAAGAAAGCAGAAGTGCCTCTACTAATACAAGACAAAATAGACCTTCAGTCAAAACCTGTCACAAGTGACAAAAAAGGTCACTATATAATGATAAGGCTGTCAATTCATGAAGAGGATACACCAATTGTAAATATTTGTGCACTCCACATTGGAGGTTCTAAATATATAAAGCAAATATTAATAGAGTTGAAGGGAGAAATGGACAATATAGAAATACTAGGGGACTTCAATACTTTACTTTTAACAATAAATAGATCATCCAGACAGAAAATTAATAAGAAAACAGTGGCCTTAAATAACATGTAAACTTAATGGACCTAACAGACATTTATAGAGCATTCCACACAACAGCAGTGAAATATATTTCATTCCCAAGAACACATGGAACATTCTCTGGGATAGATCATATGTTGGGCCACAAAATTGAACAACACGCTACTGAACAACCAATAATTGGAGAAGAAATAAAAAGGGAACTCAAAAAGCATCTTGAGACAAATAAAAATGGAAACACAACATACCAAAACTTATGGTATGCAGCAAAAACATTTTTATGAAGCCATCATTTTTTTTAATTGCATTTTAAGTTTGGGGGTACATGTGAAGAACATGCAAGATTGTTGCATAGGTAGACACATGGCAGTGTGATTTGCTGCCTTCCTTCCCCTCACCTATATCTGTCATTTCTCCCCATGCTATCTCTCCCCACCTCCCTGCCCCCGTCCCTCCCCTATTTCCCCCCAATGGACCCCAGTGTGTAGTGCTCCCCTTCCTGTGTCCATGTGTTCTCATTGTTCAACACCTGCCTAGTAGTAAATGCCTATTTTTTTTAAAAAAAATCTCAAGTAAACACCCTAACTTTATACCTCTAGGAACTAGAAAAAGAAGAAAAACTAAAACCCAAAGTCAACAGCAGGAAGGAAATAAAGATTAGAGATGAAATAGAAAATATAATGACAATAGAAAAGATCAATAAGACTAAGAGATGCTTTCTGGGAAAAATAAAGTTGAAAATGTAGCTAGACTAATCAAAAAGAGAGAGAGAGGAGTCAAATAAACAAAGTTTTAAATGAGACTGGAGATATTACAACTGATGCCACAAAAATACAAAGATGCTAAGAGACAACTATGAACAATTATGTACCAACAAATTTGATAACTTAAAAAAAATTAATAAATTTCTAGACACATGCATTCAACTGAGACTGAATCGAGAAGAAATAGAAAAGCTGAACAGACCAACAACATGTAAGGAAATTGAATCAGTAATGTAAAACCTCCCAACAAAGAAAATTCCAGGACCAGATGGCTTTATAGGCAAATTCTACTAAGCATTTAAAAAAGAATTAATGCCAACCTTTCTCAAACTCTTCCAAAAAACTGAAAATAAGGGAATACTTCCAAATCCATTTTATGAGGCCACCAGTACCATTATACCAAAGCCAGCTAAGAACACAACAATAAAATAAAATTATGGGCCAATAACCCTGATGAACATAGATGCAAAAATCCTTAACAAAATACTCACAAACAGAATTCAACAACATGTTAAAGATATCATTCATCATGAGTAAGT